CATATCCATTTGTTGCATTTATTCATTACACGTGTTTCTGTTTCTCAAAAATACAATAATTCCATCTATGAAAAGGGGCGACTCTCCACAGATCAGATTTGAAATGTACCTGCTTGTCTCACTTGTAATTTGGTTTAATCTATACTGCGGAACATTCTAGACAAAGCAATAACATTTCCATGACGGACCCTCCATTAGAAATGTTACGCAGTGCATCTTTAAGTAGATTTTATAGCGGATACTTTTTACTTTTACTTATTTTGACTTACTAGAGAGAAGATATCAACCACTACATACCACTACATTTTTTAACTAGACTGAAAAGTAAAAGTTTTTTTGTTTTCTTGTTTGTTTGGGACCTGCTGAAAAGCCTGGGGGTTTATTTTTTAACACATTTGTAATTTGAGCAAACACTTATTATAATATACAAATTAAAACAACTAGAGAAAAGTTTCTGTTGAACAAAATTCAGAACAACCACTACATTTGAAGCTTTATTAAATCTCAAAATCTGTGTGAAACACTTTTACTTTTTACTCTTTAAGTACAATTGCTCCAGTATCTGCACATTTTCTTAAGCAACAGAATTAAGTATTTCTTCCACCACTGATAGTGACAGTGTGTGTTTTTGTCAGATTTGAACTTTTGAAACTTTTGGTCAAGGGGTAAAATCTCAGTGACTGTAACATTGTTGTACTTTCTTCTAATTTTAGATAATGCAGTCACAGTCCACCTATCTGAAGGTTGGTGGTTCAAATCCACTGACCAGTTGGCTGATGTGATTCCAGCTCCCATAGATAAATGCTGTTGTTATGTCCTTGGGCAAGACACTTAACCCACCTCACCCTCAGGGTGTGCGTACACTGGTGTATGAATGTGTGAGTAGTTCCTTGTTGTAAAGCGCTTTGAGAATCTTGAAGGTAGAAAAGCGCTGTATAAAAATGTGACCATTTATCATTTTCTACTTGTTAATTTTAGAATTGATTTTAAGATTTTTGTTGTTTGTTTTTAAAGCTTTGAATGGACTGGCCCCACAGTACGTCTTGGACCTCATCCAAATTTATACCCCCGCACGCGCTCTGAGGTCTGAGGGCCAGCTCCAGCTCTTGGTGCCTAAGACGAGACTTAAAACCAGGGAGGGACAGGACCTTCTCTGTGGTCGGCCCCAAACTCTGGAACGTTCTGCCCCTCCACGTTCGAACAGCCCCCACAGCGGAGAGTTTTAAGTCTCGTCTTAAGATCCACTTTTATTCTCTGGCTGTTAACACCGCGTGAGTTGTGTGGTCCTCTGTGTTTTTTATTTATTTTTAAAGTATTTTTATTGGTTTTATTTATTTATTGCTCTTATTTTATTTAACTGGTTTTATTATTTTAAGACTAGTATGAGTAGTTTATTTTATCATTTTATTATTGTTGTTATTATTATGTATTTTTGCAACACTTTGGAAACTGTTTGTATCTGAAATGTGCTATAGAAATAAAGTGGATTGGATTTTTAACTTTATGGTGGAATGTTCTGGAGTTACCATGGTGACACAATACACATATTAGGAAACACTGTCAGAAAAGATTCAGGATCGTCTGAAAACCCAAGAAAAAAATACAAAATGGATCTAAAAAGACATGTCAAAGGGACTTGTTCAACAGCACAAATCAGCTCATCTGTTGTAGCTCCAATCAAGTCTTATAGCTTTACGGTCGGATAAAAAAATGTATTAAAAAAATGTTTAATAAAGCTTCAGACAGAGCATGCCTACAGTTAGCATCACACTCAAGAGAACGTCGACGACATCAGTTGCAAATCATCAACTGCGGTAGTAAATGCGGTAGGCTAATAAACGTGGAAGTACCCATAAAAGTACTATAGTATCTTTTGTGGTAGCTTTTTCTTGAGTGGAGACCGAGTTCAATTGCTTTCTGTATCCCAGTTTGTTTGTTTAGTGGAAATCATTTATACGAGCAGACACAGTAAAACAAGTGTATTCCATGGTCAATAATACCACAAATATTGTACTTGGAGTGACCGAAGACAGCAGAGATGGCCCACTTTGCTTTTGTGCATGGTAAAGTGGCGCATATAAAACCATTTGGGAGATTTATGTGTTGTTCTGGCTCGGGGCCCGGAGAGAAAAGAGACCGGCCACTAAAGGACGAGGAGCGGCACACGACCCCGTTCTGGAAATATGTCAAAGGAAATGTGCACGTTTAGCAGAAAATCAAAATGCCGCGCTGTTAAACTCGAATCATTTGCATTCTATTATATTTCGTAGAAGTGATTTGTAACAGAGAATTATGGGTAGGATATGACATTTTATGTGCACGTGTTTGGAGGGATTGTCGTCTAGAGTGCACTGTAATTTAAAATACATACAGCTGAACAAAATACCACTGTATTTTCATCAGTTCAACTATAGTTCAAGATAGAAAAGTATATAAGTATTTGTATTTAAACACATTATGTAACTTTCTGGTGATGTCTCCATTGAGATTGAATTATTCTTCTGTCTGGAACGTGAGCTTGAGTGCAAAGTGGTGCCTTCAAGTTCTGATTGCAGTTGACATGTACTGAAAAATGCAATTGTGAGTGTCATTTTGGTCTTAAAATGCTCTTATTAACTCGCTCTACATGATCCTGGTGGTTTTATTTCGATATTTTGTCTCTAAATTACAACATGAACAATAAATGAAATATCATGATATCGTATCATCAAAAGTCTCACAATAATACCGTGGAGTGTCACAATATATCGAATTACAAGTTCCTTTGCTTAAATGCATTTTTTTATAGTAGCAATAGCTAATAAAAATCAGGAACTACATATCCCATGATTCATTTCAGTGCAGGCAACATGAAGAAATACGTTTTTACTTGAATTCTTGAGATTATGACAGGAATAATTCACACCAAAATCTTGTCACTGTATTTTAAAAGCAAAAAAGCATCTTATCTACAATTATATCAGCATCTCCAAAATATTGCAATAAATATTGCACCGTGAGATGCATATCGTGATAATATCGTATCGAGAGATTTGGATATCGTTACATCCCTGGATATGAACATTAATAACAGACCAATCCAGAGTAAATTTTTCTTTGACGTCGTCCCCGCTATCATTTGCAGCAGGTTTTGATTGACGGCACCGTTACTAAGAACCGCCCCTTGCCAGAGCAGCAATATGAGCAGAAGGGGGTGTGTACCTTCAACAGCCTCGCTCCTGATTGGCTCTTCGGTTTCGCGTCTGGATCTCCAAATATGGTCACTTGTTTGCAGATTTGCCGCTATAACTGCCAGCCTCGCTGAGCTTCATTTGGCTAGTCCCTTAGGCTGTTTTATAGTTCTACGTCAAATCAACCCACACTGCCGCCGTCATTTTTTGATTTATGGATCTGCGTTGAGGTCTATGTGCCACGAAGTAATTCACCAGTTAGGAGGCTAGGATTTAAAAATGGTGTTCGTGTTTACAAAATGAAGCGGGAAAGCAGAGTACTGGAAATATGTATGTAGAGCGGTGATAGACGGGACCAATCACAGCCCTTATTGTCTGCGACGCTTTCCCTTGTTGTCTGCATCGGTTCAACGTGTAGTTACAAAATTTCGAAGGTGCACGTCAGTCAACGCAGACTCTTTACGTTGCGAAACAGACAATTTGACTCGCAACCATAAATTGGGCTTTAGTCACATTTCTATTATACAGTCTATTGTCCCAGAGTATGCCGTTATTTATTCCATCCACATAGTTACAGGTACATGACATAGTGCACCTTTATGAGATTAGAAAATAATAAAATTGTAATAAAGGATTCTGTTTTTGGCCTTATTATAATGGAAGTCCACAGTTACGACAGCAGCAACAGAACTTCAACTTCACTAGAAACATATTTTAACACTCTCTCAATTAATTAAAAGTCCATCCACTCCCACCAAATCCAAAAAGATCTCTCGGACACAGATCACTGGACCAATTTTTCCAACTCCCCACCGCGCTCCATCAACCGCCGTGCCCTGGCCGTCCGCTAAATATGAAATCCATTACAATAACAATCAGAACCGCCTCGCAAATCTTTCTTATGCTTCTGAATCTGCACTCCTTAGCTGTACTTAGTGAAAAATGACCCGGCGGCGCGTCAATCAGACTCCCCCCAAAGGATTATGGGTACACGGAGAAGTTGTCAGTCACGTCACAAAATCAGCCGTGTACAAAGACGCGCAATGCTCTGGTGCTTTGGTTGCTTTTTGACGTTCGGTGACAGCAGTTAGCTCGATAGAACGTAAACAGATTTAAAAGTTACTGAAGCAAATATGGCAAAATTACAGTGATAAAAAGGTTTGCAATATGCTTATAGTATTTGTTTGTTATATTTATAGCTGGGTTTCAGATTATATCACGTTTATAGGCCAATAATGCTGTATTTAAAGGCCCTACATGATACTAAATTGACTCTTGTGAGCTTTAAGTCATGTTATAATGTTGTTACCTCCTCAAAAACAGACCTGGAATTGTATTTTGTTTCATTTACAGATGTTTGAGTAATCCTGCATTATTAGTCTGTTTACATCTCCAAAGCTCAGAATGCTCTGTTCCACCTTGTGATGTCATGAAGCAGTAGTTTTCAAGTTAACACCTACTTTGCCAAACTCTACTGAATCTTTAGTTCAGTAATAGTAGCACTACTTACTTAACTTTACTCCAATTTTTGAAGTATTTCTTCAACTGATGTATTGAAGTACATTCTTGTTTGTACATTTTCAGATTCTCATTGTTGTTTTCAATCTCTGGTCCAACATAAACTGCTATGGAAATGCGTAAGAGACCAAAATAGATTTAGTAAATTATTAATAAACAAAAACAATCAATATCATCTCCAGCTCAGAATGGTTGGGTGTGTTACAAATAGGCCCGTACGTGGACATAAACTGAAGTCACCCCTCAACCTTTGACCTGCGATATTAAATATAGATAGGCTGTAGATACGGTCAAATATTCATGTGGTCTTACCGATCATGTGGTCCTGACAGGAGGAGTCCAGGATGTGCCCGTCGTCCGTCTCCGCTTTCGGGTTTAACTTCGGACTCATGATCAGCATCTGGGAAAGAGGAAAGATTGCATAATACGTCAATTTTAAAAAAAGAAAAGAAAAAAGAAATCATATATTATAAGTGTTTTGTAGTAAAATACTGTATATACACAAAAACAATTACTGAGACTGGAGGCGAGGTGAGTTAAGTATCAGCGACAGCACACATCGAACCGACAACCTTCAGATCAGTGGACGAACACCCTACCAACTGTGCTATTTTCTTTCCCGGTGCGAACTGTAGACGATGAAGGTCCAGTGACTTGCTCAGAGGCAGAATGTCAGAATGTAATAATAGCAAAATGACACATAAGAAGTTGACAATTACTTCGTTAAAGGCATTCTAATGTTGATTTATTTGTAATTACAAAAACATTGCACATTACACAACTTTTTTTTGTAATAGTTGGAAGTTTTTTTGATGAGTACCGTATTTTTTGGACTATTAGGCGCATTTAAAATCCTTTAATTTTCTCAAAAATGTATGTATGTATTAATTCTGGTTGTGTTAACTGACCTCAAACCAATTTTATGTGGTACACAGCACTCAAAAATCTGTCAAAATGTTTTAGTAAGACTTTGGCAAACTATGAAGCCGCACCACTTGATGGATTGTCAGAGCATTAAGGCCAACATAGTCAGGAGCTTCGCGGAGAACACACGTATTCCACTGAGTCGTGCCCTTTAGTCCAATAGAAGTTGACCGCATCAGTGCACAAGGGGCAAGCTGTTATTTTTCAGCGCTTATAGTTTATACAAATTAACCATGTGGTTTTAAGTTTCATTTTTGTAAAAAGTAAACAAATGTGCGCAAAGCTGCATTAAACACATTATTACTCAATGTACATTTGAGTCATCCTCGTAGGAAATAAAAAAAAAAAAAACTTAAATTATCCACCCACATACACATTCATAATACACATTCACCAAGACAGGGAGGCAACGCTGGGTGAATTACACCAAGATCTGCCAATGGATCGTGGATGAAAATAGATGAGAGAATTCAACATTATTGCTATTGCGCCTTATAATCCGGTGCGCCTTATAGTCCAAAAATACGGTACATTTCTTTTCTCTGATACAAACTGAAAACTGTTAAAATTTGGTTTGAAATTCATCAACAATTTCGTAAACTCAAAGTAAATTTTGACTTCTAAAAATTACAACTCCCCAGCAAACTCCCTTATGGTTTTAAAAGGTTTTCATCATCCATTAGCGACGTCTACATTCAGATTCCTTCGCAACCAACCAAAGTTCTCCCTTTTTATCGAAACCAAACCAACTTTTTCCGCCTTCAAATAAGTTTCAAAAAATAAAACTTTATCGAAGCTCCTTGCGTAACAGTCTCGCCCCTGAACCACCATTTGGGACCTCACCCCCGAGCTTTACCATTACAACGCCCCTCCCCTCTCGCCATCCTCATTCGTAATACACTACATCTTTCATTGTTGCTCGGTAATTGCCTGCTGTACTTTACATTAATTGGGTTGTGTGATAAAAAGTACTAGCTCTGAAGTAGCTGCTAGGTCACAAAGTACACAGTCTTTTGTTGCATTTCTTTGGGGAGAAGGGAGAAGTATTAAATGTCCGCTTTGTCAAATTGAGCGGTTGAGATAAGGGCCCTTCCTCACTGCTATCGGCGCACTCATCGTATTGGAATTAAATGTCCACCATTATGTCCCTCTTTTGGTCATTTAGACACAATCGCGTGGGTCTATACTTGAAATACGCCTACAAGGTCACGCGTTTTAAAGATACGTCTGTGGCTAATAGCTGTTATGCTAGCTAGTGAGTCGGCTAACGTCGCTAAAAATACGCATCTTCAAAACCAATTATGAAATTTTGGTTAAAGTGAAATAACGATATAAATCGTATCATTCAATGTCATGATACGATCGATATCGTGGGCTGCTGTATCAATATATCGCCAAGAGTATTTTTTGGTGTATTTTAGAAAATTATTTTGTTACAGCGCTACAGTTTTGTGGCTTGATTTATCAGCCGGTTTCACTTCATAGAAACCGTCTGACCTCACAGCATTAGAATTTGTTCACACGACGGTAGGCTGGTCCTTTTTTTGTTTAACCAATCGCTGCTATTTTGGCATGTTTGACATATGTAATGCGCCACTAAAGGGGCTAATCCCATAGGAAGAAGGGCAATAACGTCTTTCCCCTTGATAAAATTCATCAAACATTCTCTTTGTTCCAGCTTTAAATCCTCGATCTAGAGAATCGTTGCCAAAACAGAATGTATGGCTCTTCGCTGATTGGCTGGTGCCCGAACTTGCACTTCTGGAGCTTTTGTGAATTGTCTAGTGTATTCTGATTCCTGACCTAGTCACTGGAGAGAAATGAAATTGTGATGAGGCACTAGGTGGCGCCAGCCTGGCTAACAGTTTTGCTGCTTATTCAGAGGAAAGAAACTCGTTTATGCAACACTTTTGACATATTGACTGTTTTCATGACTAAAATGTTTGTTTTTCATATTCACTTTGCACAAGAAGTGATTTAACAAAGACTTTTACTATCACAGTCATGATTTAGCCTTTACTTTTTATTAACCGTATCGAATCGATTTGAAATATACTGTATTAAATCGAAAGCGCACTGTATCGAGATATGTATTGTATCGTGGCCTGTGTATTGACGTATGTATCGTATCGGCAACTTCTTAATGATACGCAGCCGTAGTTACAATCATCACTAACATGCCTGGAGTTATGTTTTGTTTCATTTGCACATGTTTAACGTACAAACCCTGCAAATGTAGGCTGAGTTCTTCTGTAAAACTGAAAAAACTTGTGACGTTCCACCTTGTGATGTCATGTGGTAACACAAGAAATGCTTTTTAAACTCCATACACTTTTACTAGAATCATTTGGATGATTTCAACCCTGGAATTTCCCATTTCTACTGAACTAAAGGTAAAAGGTAGCAAGTTATTTAACTTGAAAACTACCTCTTCATGACATCATAAGGTGGAACAGAGCATTTTGAGATATAAACAGACTAATAATAAAGGATTACTCAAACATGTGAAGGAAACAAAACACAACGTTTGACAAGGTAACAAGAGTCTATTTTGTGTAATATAGGACCTTTACGTGAAATCATAGAACTCCTGAAATAGAAACAAATAAATTAAAAAGTATAATTTGTTTAAAAATGAAGTAAGTAATACCTACATTTAATACAACAGGGGGAAAAAAATCCAGTTACTTTTCTTATACGCACCATGATACACAAATGTCAATACGAGCTAACTACTCAACGCAACTATACAACAAGACACAACAGCTTTGAAATCATATATTTTTCCTGCATTCCGACGCTATACAATGCAGTACATTCAAGGTCATGTTCGCCTTTGTGAGTTTGTGTGTTTCCATGACACGAGGATAATACAGGCTACATAAATATCTGCCACAATGAGAGATGTACTGTTTGACAGATCTCCGCTGTATCGACGGCGAGGAGAGGGCACATAACGGGAGGGAAGGGAGCAGGCGGAGAATCGTAGGCACCACGCAATCAATAACAAGGCTTCAGGGAGGACGCATGCAGAGGGGGCGGCCATGTTGACGTGTTTGCTCACCGGACCTGTGGGAATCTCGCCCACAACTAGAGTGCGGTTATAATGAGTTACAGCTACTCAATTATATAGACTTGCTTTTGTTTTTTTTGAAGATACTTATACATGCAGGGTTTTTTTTTGTCACTTTTTTTAAGGCACTTTACACCAAGGAAATATTAACCCATTTGTACACAAGTATACGCAGACTCTGGGGGCAAGGCGGGTTAAGTGTCTTGCCCAAGGACACAACGACAGCATTCATCCGTGGGAGCTGGAATCACAATTCCAACCTGTGAGTCATTGGATCCGACCGCTCAACCAATGGTGTTTACATCGAGAGCAGGATTCGAACCGGCCACCTTTAGATCAGTGTCCAATCGCTCCACCAACTGAACTACTTCTGTTTTTCACAAATGACTCAAAAATGACTCAAATTCTGAGTATTTTAAATGTTTTGAGTAGTTTTGTTTGAATGTTTATGTTGAGTTATCATGTATTATTTTATTGCGTCCATTTGCTAGTAGTAACTCAAAGATCTAAGTTTTAACTCTGAATTTGAGTAAACCTAAAAGGACTCTCTGATCTGAATTCTCACTGTGATAACAGATGTAGTAAATAGCTTTAAGTTCATTTTGATGACTTTGTTTCATTTCTCTCATACAAACGATCAAATTTGAAATTATGGCAAGGCGAAAAGCAATTTTTTTTTAAACTGGACTCAAATGCAACACAAGGAATGCAACCAAATGCAAATCTGTCTGATAAACACCTAAGGAATATACAGTACATTGTGTTTTTATTATATGAACTTATTTCTAAACTAAATTTCCTCCAAAAGTGGGAAATTCTGTAATAGAAAACAAGCTGGATATAAATGCAGAAACAGGCTCAAACAGGGAATAATTCAGAATCAGATAATACAAAACGCCCAACGGCAACAACAGGATATGTTCAGATACAGAGCTGGAGAGTGTCTCTTGACTGATCAACAATCTAGTAAAGACTGAATGAATCGAGGGAGTTTATATAGACTACCCTGGGATGATTAGAAAATGAGTGGAAGCTTTAACTAGTATTGTTATGAAACTAAAATTTCTAATTTGATTTCGATACTAAAAAATAGACTCAATAATTGATATCAGTTACGATACCACAATGAAGATAATACATGCTCCTTTAATAGAATGTAATACAATACAATAGTACTTTGATTATGTTACCATGAGATCTTATACTAGTTTTAGTAAAGCTCAAAATGAATGTTCAGGAAAGCTAAAGTTTTGTCATGATAATGTGAATTTTTGTAGTATTGGTACTTATTCAGATGACTATCTAATGTCGATATCAGTTTTAGCATGGGTTAGTATCTGATTGTTCGATACTTTTGACAACCCTAGTTTTAACCAATTTAGAATAATTGATTCGACTGTGGTGTGGTGAGGTTTTATGTATTATTTTAGATTTTTTTTTTAAGTATTTTTTTATTTTATATATTTACTTCTATTTTATATATGTATATTAATTTTAAGTCAATCGTCTAATAAATGAGATCAGTGTACCTTATATATGGAGTTTTTGTCATTAAATGTATCAAAACATAAACATAAAAAACAAACACAAAATACATTATTTACTATAATCATGACAGTATATGTACAAACTGCCCCCCCAAAAAAATAAAAAAATCCCAATGTGTGAATATTTTAGTCTGTCCCATAAGAACTACATACAAACTCAAAAATATCCATCCATTTACCTTTACTATTGTAGTAGTCACCTAATACTTTCTCCTTCCTATATGACTTCTTTTAATAACAACTTGATTAAAGGTGCATTGTGTAACTTTTCTGGTGGAGGGTCCGTCAAAGATGTTATAATTTGTATTATGTTCTACAATATGTTATTAAACCTTTCTATCTCCATGGAAACCAAACCAGACCAAATTACATGTCAGCTCTAGGTGTTTTTGAGCTATAAAACTACCTGCAATTGAATAAATGTAAGATAGAGCTGTTTAATGTCATACTGTGGAACATTCCAGGCAGAGTAATGACATATCCATAGAAACAAACAGGCGACAGACCCCCAAACAAAAAGTTACACAGTGCACTTTTAACATCAGTACCCACCTCAGCCTGTCTTCTTTATATACACATTGTTCAGTTTGACACCTTTTTGCACACTTACTCACCGAGCTATCATGGCACATCTCTGCATCCATCTCGACTTGTTTCTTGGGCGTCGAAATCCCGTGCGGAGCTGCCACCGAACTGCCCTTCACCGCCGTCCTGTGACAAAACAAAGATTCGATCAGCCCAATTCCCCTTTTATCGCAACAGGAGAGCTTAAAGATAGCGGCGCTGACGAATCTCCGGCGTTTAAAACCCGGACTGATTTCGGTAACGTGCGAAAGATAGGCGAAAGTTGAAAGTTCGTGGATATTTTCTGCTTCTTTTTCTTTTTCTTCTTCTGGTGAGGACTGCTGGCTGGAGAGGGCCCATAGCTCATGCAGACAGATGCAGTTTGTCATGTTATCGGAAAAGGCACTCTTAATGCAACAATGCCTCATGTTTATTTAGTCGGACAAACATTTCAGCGGGAAAAGAGAATGCTGACAAGTACTAATGAGGAGCTGCTAATCAAATATACAGGATTCAAGGCTGTGAAAAGCACCGGTTTGTAGTGAATGCTCAAGGACTTGTAATAAGGGATTACAATAGTTTTCAGGTTTCAGTTTATTTATGAATGTGTATTGTGAATTGGAGTATTTGTTTATGGTGTACAGGGAACTTTCAATGTTATTTAATAGGTTTATTTTTTTTTCAAATACTGATGCAAGAGCTGGAATTTGGTTAATACTGAGTTATATGCAAAACATGGTAATGATTCAAAAAGACTGGGTACTTAATTCTTACCAGTAAATGTCTGCAAAAAAAAAAAAAGAAAAAAAAAAAGAAGAAAAATAGCAGTTCATATCTATAAACTGTGTGTATTTTATTCAAATATGATGCAAGAGCTGCAATTTCTCCTGGATTATATGAGAAAACTGGTAATTCTATTCAAAAAGGCTGTAGATAGATAGTTCTTACTAGCAAATATCCACCAAAAAAAGAAAGAATTTTTTAAAAATTATATATAGTAACAATTATTCATATTATTTTGTTTAATCAAATATGACAAAAGAGCTGAGTACTATCTTATATTTTAATGATATATACTAGTATAATAACTCTAAAAGACTGAATCCTTAATTCTTACCAGTCTGCAAAAAAAAAAGAAAGAAAAAAAAAAAGTTTAACTTTTTTTTTTTATAAATAGTAATAATTGTCCATATTAGCAATTTTGTAAAGTTTTGTAAAACAGTACTTAACAATGGTAATGATTCAAAATATCTGTAGATACTCAGTTTTTACTAGTACACGTCCGCAAAAAAAGTTAAGAATTTTTTTTTTTTTTAAATAATTGGTCATATTATTTTGAGAGCTGCAATTTTGTTAAGTACTGACATATGAAAAAAAAAAAAGATTCAAAAAGGATGTAGATTTTCAATTCTTACCAGTAAATGTCTGCCAAATAAAACTTTTAAAAATATCTGGCAAATAATATCACAAGTCTATAATAATAAATGTTTCCTTTAGCTATAAACAATATATATGTTGTTATCTTTACATTTTACATGCTTATGTTTACAAGTGGAATAACGATCGATGCATTTAGCTAGTCACTCATCAATACGTAACTCTGTACAGCACTCTCTCTCTCGCTCACACACACACACACACATACACACACACATTTCCGTCAATCTTATAACTTTCCCAACATTTTGAATAAAGAGCTATAGAGCTGCACCCACCTGCCGAGAATCTCCTTAACCAGCTGCTCTTTGCCCATGAACGCCGTGGTGCACTGGATCTGGCTTGCAATCTGACCCATTTGATTATTGCAGTGGTCCATGATGGTGCTCAGCTTGTTGTTCACCTCTGCCAGATTCGACGCCGGGCCCTCTTGCTGGCTATCGCTTTTCTTCTTCTCCTTTTTCTTGTCCGACTTGATCTGCTTTCCTCCCAGCACCGATCCGATCTTGAGCTCCTTCTTTTCCTCCTTTCCCTTGGGGGTTTCTGCTTTCTTACCACTCAGGGCTGGCAGCTTGCTTTTGCGAAGGCCAAACCAGTTTGCCAGAGAGGGTCCAGTCTTTTTCGCCTCACTGGCAGCAACTTTTTCCTGTTCTTGACATTTCTGGAGATTCTCCTCGATCCCCATCATCACCCTTTCTTCAATGGTGCATGCAGTGGGGCTGATCTTTTTATCGTCAGCATCTAGAGGTTGCTTAGTTGAGTCTACCTCCCTGCTATAGTCTGGCTCATCATTGCAAGACCCCAATGTTTCACGTAATGTGTTTTCCGAGCTGTATGAAGGCGGTTGAAACTGCGGGTGTGAAGCGACTTTTGACGGTTTACGGACATGGCTGGCTCTGTCGCTAATCGGCAAGCTACGGACTTCTTTTTTAGATGGTGATGTGACAACCTCTCCTTCGCATTTGTAATCACTTTTGAGGGTTCTTTCAGGGAGGATGTTGTGGCTATTCGACCCCGTCATACCTCCGTAGTGACTGACCCTGTTTCTCGGTGAGTGGATAGGACTTTCAACGGGAGGTACCTCTAAAGAACTTTGCCTTGACAGCGAACTCCCCCTTTCCCCTGAGTTGGTGATGATTTGCGTCCGGATTCTACCGGGTATGTCTGCTGTGTTTATGTTAGGTTTCTCAAGGTAGTTGGTGCTGAAACTCTGGCTACGTGCTTTTGCGCCTGTCATCCCTAGAGCTGGTTTTAGATGAGGTTTTGTGGTAACCGATATGGACCTCGAGAAAAGCTGACTGCCCCTTTTTCCACCGACTTCCTCTAGGTGTACTTCCTCTTCCTGATCTTCCAGTTTAGCTTCGGCTATAGTAGCGCTACCTGGGTCAAAAGAACTGTCACATTGTATTGAGGCATTAGTAGTCACGGTTTCCTTAGAGACGGAATTGATATGTTCCTTCTCTAGCTTGCCAGGTATGGAGATGCTACTTTTCTGGCTAGGTGGAGATTTCAAGAATGCTTTGAACCCCATTGGAATGCGGGACTTTGGCGAAGTCACTACCGAACTAGGCGGGCTTACGATAGCTTTTGGCGGCTCTGTTTTAACTTGCGAGGATTCCTGAAGAGATATTGGCAAGCTGATGGACGTCTTTTGAACCATTTGGTGTTCTTGGGAAGACCCGCGCTTAGCTGCGAATGAATTCTGGAATGACGAACCTCGGAGGGCGCTGTAAGGGGGAGGGACATTCTTGGAAGCTTTCGATTCGAGTTCGGGAGCGCACCCTGAGTTTGCGGAAGGGAGGTAGTCTTTTGTCAAACGTTTGGAAGTGCCTTTAGTTTGCGTTACAGCGGGGGACTTTTGAAGGTGCTGACTGGTTTTGTCTACCAGTTTTTGAGGTGCAAGTGCAGTCCCGTAGCCGGCGTCGAAGTCCGAACAGTCTTTGTCCTTGATGGGAAGAGTGGCTTGCATATTCGCTTGGTTGTAACTCGGAGGAGGGCCTCTCACAGTAGTTGATTGATGTGCCATGCTAGGCTTATGCGTTTGAGGTGAGTTTTCATAATTTGGTCTGACCAGCAGGGAGGTGGTTCGGCCCGGGGGTGGCGGTGGAGATGGGGACCTGAGTTTACTTTTGCTAGTTTCACAGTGTTTGTCTTTAGTTGGTTGTTCGCCGTTGTCCGTAAACTCCAAGTGTCTCCTGGCTAAGTGGGGAGAGGCTGGCATTGTAGGGCCTTTAGTCCATTCAACCCTGCTTGGTAACTTTACAGACTTGGGGCTCTGGGTGCAGGTGGTGCCTTGGGCTTTGACGAAACGTGGGGTTTTGACAGTAGGAGATAGGGGAGATTTGTCCTGAGCGGCGGGTCCTGAGTTCATAGTTGGTTCAGTAGTGGAGCCCTTAGACACTCTCAAAGGGGAAGCTGATGGTTTGTTGCGACCTGGTATTTTTGAACCGCCGGTCTTAGCACCAGCTGGCTCATTCATTGGGGGTACGGAAAGTCCTTTACTAACCCTGCTACTCGGAGGTTTGATCAGCTTCCTTTGAGGTGTCACTTGCATCGTCAACCTCTCCTCGCTCGCCTCCCTACTGCCGCTCGGTATTCGAATCCTGCTTTGAAAATCCAAAGGTTTCTCTGGTGATTGCAAGACTGTATAGTTCCTTGACGATTTTTGCCTCGTTGGCCGCTCTTGAGGTATCAGCTCTGTATAATCAGGAAGAACTTTTGTGGTGACACTTGCACCCATGCACTTCGGAGAGCAGATTTCGATTGGCTCTCCTTCAGCGTCAAATATTGCCAATATACTTTCCTCAGACTGCGTACACTGCTTTGCTACTTTGGGGTCCTTGATGAGGCTAAATGGTCTTGGTCGGCTGTCCGCAGACTGGGTGCGACCTTGGTCTTTCCTTAAGTGCTGATGCGCAAGAAATTTAGAAGAATCCCTCGACAATCTTTTGGTTTCTCTATCTCCAGCTTGTGGGTGGTAGGGCAATTGGATATCACTAGATTCTGAAATAAGTTCCTCAGTATCGTCCATATCTGAGAGCTGATTCGGACACTCGGGCGGGTCAACGCGCAGCTTGCACGGTTTCGAGAAAGCAGACTTCCGCTCCCCTTCCGGAAGAAAACTATTAATGAAACTCAAAAGCTTTTCTGGTCTGTCCTTTGAATCGTAACCAGGGGGGTGTTTGGGATCAGAGCTAACAAGACCAGAAGGTGCATTGTCCTGAAGGCCCTCCCAGCTACACAAACTCTCCGAAATACTATGAGACTTCTTACACTGAAACCAGCCGTCTTTTGTAGGAACATTATCGCCACGGTTTGATTGTACCAGTTCATCATCCGCGTCATCGGAATCATAGGAAAACCGTTTACTCCCAGCTGCCCGGCTAACATGTCCAGACTTGGGGACATCTTTAGCCGCACCCTTGAAGCCCAGGGAGTAGATGCCCTCATTGGAGTTCATGCAGTCCTTTTCCCTGCAGGATTTGGTGACCCGCGAGGCAGAAGCGCTCCTGTGCTTCCTCCGCTGAAGTTTGCGGAGGCCCTCCAGGATGCGGCACTCCTTGCGTCGGGTCGGGATCTGCTCCTCGGGGGGGTTGTGGATGTTGCTCGGGGCGGAGGAGCCCAAACTCAGCCTCTTCTCCCAGGTCAGCGAAGACTGTTGGAAGAAAAAAAAGAAAGTTGTAAACAAAACTGTGGAATTTCAGACATTTGCACATATACATAATTACATTTTCTAAATATGTGTGCATATACCTTTACCTCCGTGATTAAGTATACTAAAATCGAATTGGAATTAACTGAGAAGAGGCTCTGTACAAAATGCAAACAGCCTAACATTTAGTATGCTATGCAAAGTAAAGTAGATGTTGCAGCCATTAAAAAAGGCCAATCTAAAGGTTGATCTAAAAAAAGAAGGCAAAAACAGCAGTCGTCCTAAATCTTTGAGAAACTATTTTGTTAAACTTTGTATTTTGTTCTTCTTTGTACTATAGCACAAGTCATAAGTTTCCTCTCACATTAACATACTTTGCTCGTACATGTGAGCCATGATAATAAGTTATGGATTTGTAAAATGTGCAATGCCAGCTGCCAGAGTAATAAATCCTTACTATATAGTTGTGTATGCTTTTAATGTGCCTCCACTGTTTTCTTTGTTTAAAACTATAGTTACCATTTTGCCCATGGACCTTCCGTCGTTCCAGGTGTATGATCCGCTGGAGAAGTCACTGCAGGCGCTGGACAGGGAGATCTCACTGCTGCTACAGCTGCTGCGAGGGTACAGGGGGCGCTCTGGAGCAGTCAGGCTCAGCTGGCTCACGCATTTGGACACAGGAAATCCACCGGCCTTTCCATTCAATGGGATATCCTGTAAAAACATTAAATAAGTAAATATTCAATCAAGGGAAGGTAATGTTTCTTCTTTATATAATATCTAAAAATATATACTGTATGCTACTAATACAAATTTTAGGAGGAGTCCACAGGAAGAAAATGTATTATAATTTTTTTCTTCAGGTAAGGTTAATTTCTGTCCTGTCAATAGAACTTTTTTAGCATCGAGACCTGCTCAAATGAGTATCTAGTTTCTATGCTAGTTTTAGTATCGAGTAGTAGGGGTGTGCAAAAATATCAAAATATTGATATATTGTATCGTTTAATGTCCTGATACAGTATCGTTATCCTGACCTGCTGTATCGATATATCACCAAGAGTATTTTTTGGTATATTTTATTAAATCATTTTGTTAAACAGCTACAGTTTTGTTGTTTGTTCAGTGGAAGGAAACTCACTTATGCAACACATTTGACATATTCACTGTTTTGATGATTAAAATGTTTGTGTTTCATATGAATTTTGCACAATAAGTGGTTTCACAAAGACTTTTAGTATCACAGCCATGATTTAGCCTTTATTTTTTATCGAATCATATCAAATCTATTTGAAATATATCGTATCGAATTGAAAGTTCACTGTATCTAGATATGTATCGTATTGTGGCCTATGTATCGAGGTGTGTATCGTATCGGCAACTTCTTAATGACACCCAGCCTTATCAAGTAGTATCTGACATTTGATATTTTTGACCATCCTAACTATTTTTGTTCACAGGTTTGAAAAAATACAAATTAGGTATTTTGATATTTTTTACTTACATTACTTTTTACATTTGTACTTATTATTATTAGACTACATTTTGACAAATATGATATTTAATGTAGATTGGACCTTGTAATCAGTGAAATAAAAAATCTAAACAGTATGTAGTAAGTGCTGGAATAGAACTTTCCGGTGTTTTTGTAATAGTAGTAATGGCTTGACTAAATGCTTTTCCTCATTTGCAGACAAAATGGACACTTTCCATAGAACCTTCTTGCAGAAACCCTAGCCCGTGTTGTTATTGAACTAATCTGCTCTCAGTGCTGCTCGTGTGTATCACTTACACACACAGACGAGAAGGTGGCATTTCTTGCACGTACTTGAAATCAGATCATGTGCCAGCAATTTCTCACTTATCTCACTTTAACGAGTCACTCCTACCAGATTTATTCTAGATTTCAGGACTATCATAAAAAGCCAATTATAGTTTCTTAATTTATCAAACAATTAAAGAGATTACACTTCTATGGGGTATTAACTGCTAACACATAACTTATTTTTTTGGAACTATGAAATCCCCCACCCTTTGCTCTCTACGTTAAATCATTCTCCCCTTATTGAAACTACTGCACATTGCACCAGGTTTGTGAAGTTGTAGTGTACGGTTTTGTATCATGCTTTTGTATATTTATGAAGAATTGTCAGAAATGTCGTGCAGTAGCATGGGTGATGTAGGCTTGTGTGACAGATTCTTACTGCTAACCGTAAAGAGAGTTTGAATAGGGCCCAGGGGAGATCGCTAGATTACTCAAACATGCATGGATGACATCTAAAACCACTTAAGGCCTGTTTTGGATGACGTAACATTATAACACAATAGCTCCTAAAAGTCGATTTTGAAAGAAAAAAAATGCCAAAATTGTATTTTTCAGACTATAAGTTGTACTTTTTTTCATGGTTTAGGTGGTCCTGCGACTTATACTCCAGTGTGACTTATGTGTTAAAATTTTCACACTGACAGCCACGAGAGGCTCTCGGCTTGTGCATTCCTGTAACCCTGTCAATTCGCCACTGCGCATGTCGGCTGCAGAAGAAAGAGAAAGAGCCACAGTCCTCTCTGTATCATGTCAATCAATCACACCATTACTTCTGTACCACTGACAATTTAAAATTTAAACAAACATAAAGACAACTGAAACCATCCAGAAAGGCTGGAATAATTCTAACTGGAACTGATGCTGAGTCTGACGACAGCTACACAGAAGCAGAAACAACTCACAGAGTTGCTCAGAAGTGACACTGAGGATGAAGAATTCAGTGGATTTAGTGATTTGAAGTGAGATGGAGAGTTTATTAAACTTGCTCTGTTCTGTTATGTTATAGTTTATCTGAAGAACTGTTCGTATGTGACGTTAACAGTCTCTTGTTATTACTGTAACTTGCCTTTCAAGATGAAGTGTTGGTTCCTGGTCTCTGATTTTATAAAATACGTTTCCCCAAAAAAGTGTGACTTATAATTCAGTGTGATTTATATATGTTTTTTTCTTCTTCATTATACATTTTTGGGCTGGTGTGACTTATTGTCCAGAGCAACTTATAGTCCGAAAAATATGGTACATAAAAATCAAGTTTATTTCTGTAATTCAATAAAATGGAGATGTGTGGCACTGTAGAAGATGATTCTCACACAAATTGGAAAGTTGATAGTTCCATTCCAGCTTTGATTGGCACATATTACAATTGTGTCCTTCACCCACCGCTTTGATTACGGATATTTGCATAATTTTTGGTGTTCGTTGGAAGCTGTATTACTTCATTATTAATATATATACTTTTTTCTGTCCCTTGTAAAATTCAGCTCTTGGTCCTCAGTGCTACAAAAGCAATGGCCCCTTCTCATTCTCCAGCCTTAATGCATAATACATAAGATGACTAATGTACCATGCTGTCCTATACAGAGTCACTGCTACCCCAGAAGAGACCGAATCAATGCGTTTCTGGAAATATGACTTGGTTGCTTTTAGCGGCTATGATACGGGCCGCTCTTCCTGTTTGGGGCCAGAAGGGGTCAGGCCTTGGGTATTTTAATATCTCGTAATGATTTGTGCGAGAGAGGGAGGGGGCAGAGGTTGCTGGTTCTATGCTTACTGTGGGCGGCGGATGGAGAGACGTCTTGCTCCGGTCGGGTTCCAGGAGGAGGTCGGCCGCGGATAGGTCCATGATCCTGGAGTGGAGTTTCTGGAAGACAATGAGGAAAAGTCAAGTCAGGTGGGAATTTTGATGAAGGAACTAGGTAGGATTTAGAATTTTGTTTTATTTTTGGATAAACACATGATTAAAATATATTGCTTGAGAAGTGTTGAAGGAGCATATGTGTTAAAAATTCTGTTTGTGCAAAATGTGAAAAAATGGCCTAAAATTTGAATGGTTTGACATATGCATCATTCATTTTCATTCATTTTTTTTTGACAAAACCTAATTTTTTTAACTTGCTATACTTTTTACATTGAACTAAAATGAATAAGACAAATATAATGCTTTATGTAAATATTAGTTGTACTCATTGTCATTGTTGTTTTTGATCTGAGCAGTTTTGGACTTGGTATAGACTAAAAATAAGACCTACTAATATAATATAAACACTATGAACAAAAATATGTTTTATTAAAAAAAAATATATATACATATATACATATATATATATTTGGTAAATTCTTTGCTGGCTTTAAAATGTTTATGCAGATTCAGAAATACTATTCTTGGTTCCCTAATGTCTTCATGGCTTTGATATACAATAAAAATAAGAATAATTTTATTTTCTGCTATTTTATGTAATTTTATGTTGTATGTTATGTCATTTTATGCATTTTTATGTTATCTTATCTTATTTTATGTTGTTATGTTATGTTATTATATGTCATGTTATGTTGTTTTATGTTACGTTATGTTATTTTATGTTACTTTATGTTATGTTATTTTGTTATTTTATTATGTTATGTTATTTTGTTATTTTATTATGTTATGTTATGTTGTGTTATTTTATGTTATAATATGTTATCTTATGTTACGTTATATTATCTTATTTTATTATATATTATATTATTTTATGTTACGTTATGTTACGTTGTTTTATGTTACGTTATGTTATCTCGTGCCACAAGATCTCGTGAGACAAAATTGCTACAAGACTGTACACTCATGAGAAAAACGATCTTGTGTGATTTTTTCCCAAGAGTTTAAAAGGATTACGGGTTGACAAGTTACATCTTTTTAACAGTTCCAAAAATCAGTACTAGAATGGAAACAAATATGAAATCAAATAAATAAAACACTGTAAGGTCAAACTGAAAACTGAATCGTGAAATATTATTAGATATTAGGAATTACATAAAAAAAATTATGTTTCATCTCACTGTCATGGACCCAATCTCATATTTCGCCTCGTCTTGTGGAAACTGTGTCTCGTCCCGTCCCGATATCTCATGTGATGTTAGTTTATGTTATGTAATGCTATTTTATTTATTTAACTATTTATTTTGTGAATTCTATGCAGTCCTCAAATGCCAATATACATACATTTAAACATATAAGTGTGCAGTGGCCTGAACGGTCTCGTCTGGTCTCATTCATCATTAATGTGATCATGAAGCACAGAGCCGAGCGTATCTGTAATAATGACGTGTGGGACAGAGGGAGGGTTTTGACTCTGTCTCTCTGCGACCGGCCTCATATTAAACTCCACTACGGATACGGATACGAACGCAAATGTATTAATCTGCCACTTAATTACACGGGCACCCTCGATCCACTTTCACTAAACTGGGAATAGGAGAATTAAACTGCGCTTTTCAAGGGTAAACTAAGTGTCCTTTTTTTTTTTTTTTTTTTTTCTGGCATGTTTCATTGTTTCTTTTTATTTTTTTCTTGCTTTATTTATTTATAATTTTTTTAATTATTAATTTATTTCATTTCCAGTGGATATATATTTAAACAAATCTTAAACTGGCACTTTTTTCACTTAAACTGGAAATAAAAAAATAAAATAATTATTTTCAAAGGTAAATTAAATCTGTAAGTTTTTATTTTTGTTTGTTTTGTTTTGTTTTTTCTGGCACATCTGATTTTTTATTTTTTTTTAGTTTTATTTTTATTGTTTAGTTATTGCAGTGGTTACTATATACTGCATTTCAATAAAATTTTACTCGAGCACACATAGATGAATTATAAACACATTTCTTTTCAAAAGTTAACTAAATGTAGTTTTTTTCTGGCACATTTAATTTTTAAAGTTTTTTTTATTATATTTATTTTATTTTTTTATTGTATATAATTTTTATTTTTATTTTACCTTTTCTCTTTATTTTTTAACTGTCACTTTTTGCATTGGCTACTATATTCAGTCAAAGTCACCTCCATTCAAAAAGTCCATCCGTCCACGATTACACATTCACGAAACACACACTACAGCGTACACACAAAAAACAGTCGGATTTTGTCATATTTGCAGATGACGTCCTTGAAATGTTTTGATGGATAAACAAATAAAGACAAAATAAAAAAGCAATGACAGCGCTCTGTGGTCTCTGAAGAAAAAGTGAACTGCAGAACTGAGCCCGGGGCCTAAACAGTACGTCCTACGTCTCTCCTCTTCCTCTCCTCTTTCCCTCCTCCCTCTCTCAAATACAAATCATTCTCACTGATATATAAACGTCTATGGAAATCCCAAAAAATACAACTTTGACCTAACTAACCCTATGCAAGCTGCACTGTGGAACTTTGTGGTTGGGAGTCCGTCACCTGCTTGTTTCACAGTGTGACATTAAACAGCTCTACTTTACATTTATTCAAATACAGGTGGTTTTACAGCTCCAAAATGCATAGAAAAACAGACATTCAAACTGTGAGCGGGGTCGGCTCTCCACAGACCTGACCTGTATCTTGATCTGGTTTGGTCTCCGTGAAGACAGAAAGATTTAACGCCACACTGTGAAACCAGACAGTCCAGACAAAGCAATAACATCTCCATGGAGAAAAGCATTTGATGGACCTTCCGGCGGAAATTTAGACGTGAAAATTACCACTTCATCATCACAATCTGGAACAGAGCATTGTGATATAATCGGCCGATATGGGCACTTGGAGGTCTAAATCTTGCCGATATAGGTCTATAGTCCACGTGGGCATGTTGTACCTCATTATGAAGCTTAGACTCTTCATATTATGTCCATTTAATCCAATTTACAGACAGATAAATGTCCTAATATCTGGCACTGTATCAATATTTATCTGCGGAGTCATTTGTCTGTATCTGTGACACCGTACTGCCCCTGAACACACCTCCAGACCTGTGCGTAGATCCATGTGTGCAACACTGAGGAGCTGGCTTTAGACGCTGTTGTGTCTGATCCACGATACTGACGATAAATAAAAGTGAACTTCAGCGCACTTTAGGTCACAAATAAAACTACTGCTTGTTTTTATCCAATTTATTAGAGAAGACTTGTGATCTGAGAGAACCTTGTGTGAGCGGTGAGTGTTACAAATGTGTCAGTTTTGAAGCTACTTTTGGTTCTTTCTCATTGTGTGTTCACATTGTGTCCTTCAGTCATCCAGATAGAATCCATGGCAAAGGAGAAATTCAGTTTGTCGACTGGACAAAAGTTTATTTGGTCCAACACATTTCACAGCGCATCCAAGCTGCTTCTTCAGTTCTGGTCGGACGCTGTTGGACACTTCCTTACATCTAAAATCTCAAGATCTAAAATGGATGAGCTCCAAAATGTATTCAACCAAATAAACTTTTGTTTAGCTCCCACACATAAACAGCCCGTTTATTTGACTACAGTCTCTGTACACACATTATTGAACCTGCATTGATGTGTAAATGAGCTGTGAATAGAGGTGTGAATGATCTGCATTTACGCATAATAGCAGTAGTTTACTTAATTTCTTTACTAGGCTAGAATGTCATGCAAAAATGCCATTACGCCGACCTATTGTCTTTAAATATGATGTAAAAAAGCCGAATAACAGTAAATGACACCTAAATAAACCCAATTTAAAATCCAGCAGAGCCAGACCTAAGTTTTATAATCATCTGAAGATTTACTGTGGACTTTTACATCATTAAATATACTGACTATCGGCACCTCCAACATTTTATTGGTATCATATCAGCCACTAAAAATCCATATAAGTTGGGCCCTAATTTTGAGTTTTGGAGGTGTAGACTGGGTTACTCAAGCATGTGAATGAAACAAAACAGAACTCTAGGTATGTTTTTGAGGAGGTAACAGTGTCATAACACAACTTAAAGCTCATAAGAGTTCTTTTTGCGTAATGCAGGACCTTTTAAGTGAGTCTCCTTGCTTCTCCTGCTGTCTCCACTCCGAGTCTGGGCTCTGATCTTATCCTGTTCTACGCGGTGCAGGATTTCACCCCCTCAGCAGCTTCTCATCAGCCATTCAGTCAATAGTGTCAGAGGACAGCGCGGGGACAGGGCGGGGACGGGGGGGAGGAGGACACCCGGCGTGCACTCCGGTCCTCCTCCGGGCTCACGAGTTCAAGTCCGGGGTCAAGAGCGGCTCAGGCTGGACATGCTAATGCTAAAGCTAATCGATGAGAGGAAATGCAGACTAGAAAGTGAATTGTTGGCGTACTCCTGATAAGTTTTGATGTGCAGTAGTTGTAGTAGTAATAAGTAGTAGTAGTAGTCAGATTGGAAGGTATGTTTTCTTTAGAGGAGCACTTTCTTTTACTTAAACTTACTAGTCACAAAAAATAGACAGAAATCAAAGGCATGTTTTTGTTTTGTTTTTTTCATTTTGATTGAGTTTATTGTACTGAGGTATGACATGAAAAAGTCTACATAAGTAAAAGTATTAAAGTACTGTTTAAAAAAGTACTTAAAGAGTAAAAAGTAAAAGTATTTAGCTTAGATTTTGAGATATAATAAAGCTTCCACAGTTTTTGAAAGTTTTTTTTTCTTGGCTGTTTTTCTTTGTATATTTTTATTGCTCAAACTCCAAACGTGTTAAAAATAAACCCTCAACCTTTTCAGCAGGTCTCAGACAAAAATAAAAAATAAGTTTACTTTTCAGTCCTATTCAAAAAATGTAGTGCAGTAGAAAATACTGATACCTGCTCTCAAATATAGTGAAGTAAAAGTAAAACGTATCTACTTCATCTACTGTATTCTTCTGTACTCTAAAACTTCTACTTTTACACAGATCCACGGT